GTCACAGCTAAGAGAAACATTGTATTTGGGGTCACAGCTAAGAGAAGCATTGTATATGGGGGTCACAGCCAAGTGAAACATTGTATTTGGGGGTCACAGCCAAGGGAAACATTGTATTTGGGGTCACAGCCAAGAGAAACATTGTATTTGGGGGTCACAGCCAAGTGAAACATTGTATTTGGGGTCACAGCCAAGAGAAACATTGTATTTGGGGGTCACAGCCAAGTGAAACATTGTATTTGGGGGTCACAGCCAAGGGAAACATTGTATATGGGGGACACAGCCAAGTGAAACATTGTATTTGGGGTCACAGCCAAGGGTAACATTGTATATGGGGTCACAGCCAAGAGAAACATTGTATATGGGGGTCACAGCCAAGTGTAACATTGTATATGGGGGTCACAGCCAAGAGAAACGTTGTATTTGGGGGTCACTGCCAAGTGTAACATTGTATTTGGGGATCACTGCCAAGTGTAACATTGTATTTGGGGGTCACTGCCAAGTGTAACATTGTATTTGGGGATCACTGCCAAGTGTAACATTGTATTTGGGGGTCACTGCCAAGTGTAACATTGTATTTGGGGATCACTGCCAAGTGTAACATTGTATTTGGGGGTCACTGCCAAGTGTAACATTGTATTTGGGGGTCACAGCCAAGTGTAACATTGTATTTAGGGGTCACAGCCAAGAGAAACATTGTATTTGGGGTCACAGCTAAGAGAAACATTGTATATGGGGGACACAGCCAAGTGTAACATTGTATATGGGGGTCACAGCCAAGAGAAACGTTGTATTTGGGGGTCACTGCCAAGTGTAACATTGTATTTGGGGATCACTGCCAAGTGTAACATTGTATTTGGGGGTCACAGCCAAGTGTAACATTGTATTGGGGTGTCTCAGCCAAGTGAAACATTGTATATGGGGGTCACAGCCAAGAGAAACATTGTATTTGGGGGTCACTGCCAAGTGAAACATTGTATTTGGTGGTCACAGCCAAGTGTAACATTGTATTTGGGGGTCACAGCCAAGAGAAACATTGTATTTGGGGATCACAGCCAAGAGAAACATTGTACTTGGGGGTCACAGCAAAGTGTAACATTGTATATTGGGGTCACAGCCAAGGGAAACATTGTATATGGGGGTCACAGCCAAGAGAAACATTGTATTTGGGGGTCACAGCCAAGGGTAACATTGTATATGGGGGACACAGCCAAGAGAAACATTGTATATGGGGGTCACAGCCAAGGGAAACATTGTATATGGGGGTCACATTGTATATGGGGGTCACAGGCAAGGGAAACATTGTATATGGGGGTCACATTGTATATGGGGGTCACATTGTATATGGGGGTCACAGTCACATTGTATATGGGGGCCGCAGTCTGTGATTGGGGTGGATTCACAGACGCCATTCTTCGCTCCTCTATCTGACCCTATCTGATGGATATTGAGCTTGCTCGGTGTTGTGATCTCCGGCAGCCACTTCCTGTCTACATGACTCCAGCGATGGCTCCATGGCATTTCTCAGGGCGGGTTTCCTAATGGTGACAATAGTGGATCATGCTTATGCCCCATCTACTAAACCGGCCACAAGCCCATGTGACTGGGTGACAACTCAGGAGCACAATTGGGAGACAGGGACAGAGCGTTGTCACCCTATAACAGGAAGTGGCTGCAGATTTAGAAATCACAAAGACATAAGACTTGTGAAATGACATTGACATGTGAAAGCTTTATTGAGTGTTTCTTGGGTTTACATACAGATCATAATGGTGACAATAGTGGATCATGCTTATGCCCCATCTACTAAACCGGCCACAAGCCCATGTGACTGGGTGACAACTCAGGAGCACAATTGGGAGACAGGGACAGAGCGTTGTCACCCTATAACAGGAAGTGGCTGCAGATTTAGAAATCACAAAGACATAAGACTTGTGAAATGACATTGACATGTGAAAGCTTTATTGAGTGTTTCTTGGGTTTACATACAGATGCAAATGAGTCATGTGATCAGAGAAAATTTACATATTTGTCATCGGGCGGAATTTGCGACGCTGATCAAAGGTTCCGATGTAACTCCATTTACTGAGCTGATTCGGGGTTTTGCAGGAAAAAAAAAAGTGCAGTTCGGGGCTAGACGGGGGCAGGAGAGGGGT